TGGGCCAGGGTGCATCAATTTGTGTGGAAATACCTAATCTCTTTTCTTTTTGTACTTGTAAGCAAAGTATTGCTGTGCACCTTGTGCTGTGTCTCACTCTGTAATTGTGTGATTCCGTAAAATGATATCTCTTTTCTTTTTTATTTGCTTTCACATTCTGTGTGAATGGGGTAACATATAATTTGTTTGTTCCTCTGGGGACACTGCAAATTGTAATTCGGACAGGGAGAAATCAACACACATAGAGAGTTTTATACATTCTCCGTTATTATTATTTTTGTGTGTGGCTATCTCTGCAATGTTACCAAATAAAATTTAATTCGTTTATAATCTTTTTCTTTTTTCTTTGGGATTGGATGATTCTTTATTTTGTTTGAATAATGGGTATTATCCGTAGTGCATATTTTTTATTTACATTCATGCTTGACTTGATATGTGTGTGTGTGTGTGTCTGTGTTATATTAATGTTTTTCTGTTTTCTTTTTTTCCCTCTCTCTATCTTTACACACAGACACAGATTGCAGTAATCCTCAGTGATATTAATAACAAGAATGTCCATGTTGTCGTGCCGTGTGTTGTGTCTGTTGGCCATTGTGCTCTGCTGTGTGGGTGTGGCTCATGCTGCTGCATCAACACCAGGTATCTCAAGACTTATTGTGTAGGCACAAGAGAAGGCGAAGGAGGTTTTAAATCAGAAGGAGGAGTGCGAGAAAGCCGCCAAGGCTGCTCTAAAGGCTGTGGATGAAGCTCAAGTATTTGCTGTTACCACTGAGAATGAAATCGAAACAATTGCTGCTGACCCAAACAAGGTGGAGAAAAGAAAGAGTAAAGGTCGTAAACTCATTGATAAGGCAACGCAGGCTGCAGCTTAAGCAAGAACAGTGGCCAATAAAACTACAGACAGTGCAACTCAAACTGAAAACGAAACTATTCTTGTTGAGTTACACGCAAAAGATCCTAGGCAGCCAGTACCGAAAGAAATTCAGGAGGTATTGAATGTCATTTAAGATGCACGAAACGCGGTTCTTGAGGCTGGAGAAGAAATCGACGCTGCGAAAACTTATGTTAATAATGTGAAGGATGTCCTGCAGAAACTCGATGCCGCAGTTGTTGCTGCTGCCAAAGAGAAGAAGAAAGAAAAACAGGTGGAGCCTCAACCACAGCCACAGGAACAGACAAATGAAACATCTCTTCCACCCAATAATGCTACAATAACGAATGGCA